GTAACCTAAACCAAGTGGTTGATACAAACACTTCAACATGAATAAAGGGGGACTATAACCTCTCATTTTTTATGAGTGCTTCTTATGTCATGTGTAATGTGGCCCTTCCTTAGACAGGGGAATGGATCAGCTTTATGCCAATTATTATTGAGAGAATTTCTTGCAGGTTATACTAGTGTTCTCATATGGATAGCATAAACATGTAGATTAACTGAGGTGTGCAGGGAGGGTTACTTAATAACTCATGGTGGAGTAAAATCAAAATGGATCAATTTGTGTCATGTAGACTCTTCTTGAACACATTCCTTTAAGTTGTCAGCCTTGAGTTGTTCTTGCATATACATTGGTCAGTTGGACAGTCAGTCTGTATTTTGACTAGTTAATAAGATCTTGCAAGAAAAATTGTCTTTTTATTGAGAGCTTCATAACCAGTGTTCGTAATTTGTGTGCATACTCCTAAAACTGTGTCCTGTCTGTTTCAGGAATTCCTGCCAGCTCCTTCTTTAGTTATAAGTCTTTTTGTAGCGATATGTTTCAAAATCTTTTCTCTGTTCGGACCAGGTATCTGTTTATGCCGTACCCCAGCATCTAAACCAGGTTGGGTATGCCCTAGACACAGCAGTGAAACTTCTGGAATTTTATCAAAAATACTTTTTAATGGAATACCCTCTTGAAAAATTAGGTAAGTTCTTCGAACATTTTTTTAAAATAGAAGAAGCAGCCCTGATCTGAAAAATGCGGGGGAATTTTCATTAAAAAAAAAAAGTTAGAATAAGATTTATGTGAAATGAAATTCCCAAATGTATTAAAATTATTACAATAATTTTTAAAATTAGTTATGTGTTTGTCTGACTGCAAATGTTAAGTGAGTCCTAAGTTGAAAAATTTTGGTGAGCTTTTGTAACCAGATTGCTTATACTCATACATAGCATCATAGAACTAATTCTGTGTAAATTTAATGTGATGTAGTTTGATAGGAAGATACAGAATACTCAGTCTGTGTACTATACTTACCAGTGCAAGATCTGCAGTGTGACTTCTCTGCATGCATTAGTTTAACTAGAAAGATGATGAAATGCAGTCCTCTAAGACACTACTTTCAGTAGGGGCCACCCCATTTCCTTGTTAGTTCTGTGCCTGCAAGATCTGTAGGCAGTGTCTGAGTAGTGCTTTAAGTTGTTTCTGCCAGAGTACTGCTCGACGAACAAGGTTATCACTCTGTGGGGCTTCTGTGCTTGAGACATGTGTCCATACCACAGGATTTAAAAAATGAGGGTTTTAGTGATTTTTCTAATATAATAGGTAGGCTTGAAAGACAGGATTGCTTTAAACTAGCAATTTTCGAAAGCTTCTTTCAAATCTTTTTCCAGATCTGGTAGCAATTCCTGATTTTCAGTCTGGTGCAATGGAAAACTGGGGCTTGATCACCTTCCGAGAAACAGCACTGTTGTTTGACAGAGATACTTCTTCAGCGCAGGATAAAAAGTTAATAACTGCAGTGATTGCACATGAGCTTGCTCATCAGGTAGTAGACTGGGGAGGTTATTACTGTTGTTGGTTTTTTAAGTGTAGTTCTGTCCTTAAAGTCACCCTCCCTCCCCTTACCGTGACTGGGTTGTGCATTGCATCTGTTCAGAGCACCTGCAGGTGTATTTTCTACAGTACAACAGGCAGAGTGCAGCTCTGTCATGATGTACTTAGGGAGTGGTTCCTGCAGAAGTGTTACTGTGGTTTTGACTGTACTTGATTTTGCCACAAGATAAAGCAGAGGATGAGTGGAGTGTTACTGTACTCATGTGATTTTAATTCTAAGAAAATAATGGTGGTTTTGGTCTTTCATAGTGGTTTGGCAATCTAGTTACTATGGAATGGTGGAACGATCTCTGGCTGAATGAGGGATTTGCCACTTTCATGGAATACTTTGCCATGGAGGAGGTTTTCCCAGAATTGCATTCGGTAAGTACTTTCTGTAACTACACTCACTGTGCCTTCCCTGATAGTTTAATACGATGTATTCAAATATCTTCATTCTAGAAGAAAATAAGTAAGAGAGTTTGGTAATCACTAGATAAAGTGTTGTTTACGTTCACACAAACATCACTATAGTGAGTAATTTCCCTAGACTTCATGCTTAAACCACACAAAAGAAGTCATGCTTTTGTATTCCCTAGGTCCTGTAAATGACCTGAAAACGTGGGTGAGCCAAATTTGAAATTCTACACATACTTATTTAGAAGGTGCATTTATTTTGTCTAGTGCCAATGACACATCTACCTGAGACAGGAGCTAAAGGGTCGACATAATGATGCAAACTCAAAAGTCAAATTCCACTGCTAAAATGTATCAGGGAAAGATTAGGTTTTATAAATGCTGCCCTGGCAATTCTTTTGCTGCCTAGACAAATGGAAAGCAAAGCAGAGACAACTTTTACTTTTCTGCCTGCCGTATATGTTCTAACATTCTAGACTCTGACAAATGTGTCTCTTCTAGGATGAAGATTTCCTTAATTTAATTTTCAAGGCTATGATGAAGGATTCCTTAAATTCTTCACGTCCAGTCTCTTCTGCTGTTCAGTCTTCAGAACAAATTGAAGAAATGTTTGACGTACTTTCTTATATCAAGGTAACTGTAAACATATTTGGAAAGTGATATAGTAGCTATTGAAAGCATGAATGTGGAATCACAGGTAAGTAAGGATGTACTGGCGAATGTTTGGAGGTTACTTTCACCTAGCACAAACAATACAGGATTTCTCAGTAATCTTCCTGAGCAACTACATAGCTTTTAATTAGGAAAATATTATATGTGTGTGTTTGTGTCCTTACTTAACATCTTGGTGAGTGCTTGAGCACAAAGTGTAATACTCATGAAGATGTAAGGGGGCATCTGGTAAGTGAAGCAAAATATCCAGTTGGCCATACCTTATTTTTTTTATAGCAGTCTGAAACAAGTGCTTAAGAAAAAAAGTAGCAGTAAGGCACATACTGAAGTAATCACGTCTCCTTATACCCTTCCTGCTTTAAAAAACCCAGTATTTTAGAGACTTCCTGACCTGGAGGCTTGCCTCTGAAATATGAAGTTATTTCACTGCCTGTTCTAATTGTCTGAAACTTGATTATTTCTACTATCTAGTGAGGGTTGTTTGTGAGGCTTATGTTTTTAAAGCTTCATTATGCCTCACTTAAAAATGCATGAGAAAAGAAATACCTGTGTTTGCAAAACTTCTATTCACATTGTCTCAGGTTTTAGATACTCTGTCTCATGATTTTGGTAGTTTTGGAGGAGGACTTTTATATGTTTTGGATTAGCTGATATTTTTTCCATCACTCTCTCATACGTTCATCTAATTAGACAGCTAGTGTTTGCCAGAAAACAGTCGAATCCTACATCTTCCTCTGCTCAGAGGAATGCAGTCCTATGGCATGTTGCTTGTCTCCACTAATTTCTGTTTGCAAGTCTCAATTGGTCAATACATGTTGTCTGATATCATTGCGTAGTCTGAGATGCCAGAAAGACCTACAGTAGTGATGTGCTTCCATTTATTTTGGACTCTGTTTTCTGAACTACAGGAACAGAGACATGTGATTTTGAGTTTACCTTGGTTGTGAAATGAATTTGGTTTCTCTCCCCTTGTCAAAAGGCATCACTGTTTCATCCTTCAGAGTTGCTGTCTAAAGTAATTCCCTTTTTGGTGAGCTTCTGGAAGCAATGCATTGGACACAATCATGGCTGTAGCCAAATAACTTTATTGATACACATTCTGTCACTCTTCCTCTGGTTGAAACTCCTCTATATAATTTTATTGTACATATTCCTTAAGTGATTGGGCTGGAGTTTCAGTCAGTTAATACAACATTATATTTGGAGAACTGTTTTATTACTTTTTTGCTACTAATAAGTATGTGCACCTTCTGAATAGAATTGTAGCAACCTGTAACTTTGAGTCTAAGAGCTAACCAAAAGAGGTTTTGCCCTTGTGTTGTCAGAAATGGGGTTTTCATGACTGCTTTCTGTGTTTCAGAGCATTTGATTGCATAGCTTTTCATTCATGCATGCAGTCTTCATATTCCACTACTCTCAGCCCTATGGCTTAGCTAAAGCCCTTGGCAATCTGAGTGGGAAGACACTTGCAACATAGTCCCTAATCAGCTAAAAGCGGTCTCCTTTTGAACTGTACAACTTTGTTTTACTGTAGTGCAAACTGACACAGATTGCTTGGTGGCCTCTACATTGTACTGTCTGGAATAGGAATTATTGTACAATATTATTTTTAGCCTGGCTGTTTTGCAGACTATCACTAAACCAACACTCTAGGGTGGCATAAAATCCACCTGCAACAACAGTGTGTTTGGAAGGAATTAAAAACAAGTAGCAGAGCTGTAGGTGAAGTATGGATGTGTGCAGGAGAGGAAATTATGGCCATATTATTAAAAGCAAGGGCTATTCCTGTAGTTTGATGAATAATGAATAACCAGGCAGCCTTCAGTTTCAGGCAAGATGCTTCTCAAATTCCAAAACTTGAATTTGGAATGTGCAAGAATCATACTTACTTTCTTTAAAATCTTCTTTATTTCTTGTTCCTTTCTCAGAAATAGTACCAAAGATATAAAGTGCACTTTCAAACTTTTCATGATCTTCGGCTGCTCATATGTGTTCAGTTGTACAGTATGCAAGTCTTCTGGCAATTTATTACTGACTATGACATAGTAACGTTTTCATGGTAATAAAAATGGTTTTCAGCTATGTTTTAAAAAAGCAAAACCCAACACCTTTCTGTCTGCACATTCAGACTGCCATTTTGATGCTAGAACTACTTAGTTACTATTTATTTTTTTAACAAAACATGGCTGAATTTAAACACTGTCAAATGCTCTTGTCCTTCTACAGTCAATTCCAGGCTACTAAGTGTGTCTTATATTTTTCCTGTATTTTTAGGTTTTTGATATAACTGCAAGTCATGTGACTGCTAAACACTGTCTCACAAATGCAGTTCTGTACCATATGGATGAGTATTGGTAATGAAAAATGGCAGCCAGCAGAGACTAGTCAGTAATAAGGCAATATTTGTCATGTGGTATAAGTTGGAAAAAACGTCACACTCCACCAGCCTCTTTTGTAACTGTAATTTGAGCCTTTAAAATATTTTAAAATATGGGGGTTTTATCCAAAGCAGCTTTAAAAAAAATTCCAAGCCATATTAGCCTTTCTTGTAATTGTATTTGGACTTTATGTAATACTAAATAACCCATTTTTTCCAAGGCAAGTCATTGTTAAGGTAATTGTTCAAATCATATTGTTTGGAATAGAAGCTGCTAGCTTCTGAGTTGTTTTTGTACTGAGAAAGAGCTATAATATGTATATGGTACAGAAAGTCCTGTAACTTTAATTTACCAATTCTTTTTTTTTTTTTTTTCCTCCCTGAAGGGAGCTTCACTTCTTTTGATGCTGAAGCATTATCTTACTAAGGATGTTTTCCAAGCTGGCATTGAGGTATACTTGCATAATCACAACTATGGAACTGCCCAGAGTGATGACCTGTGGGACAGCTTGAATGAGGTATCCATGCTCAACACACTGTTCTTTTTATTTTTTACCTCTTTAAGAGTGTTGTAAATTTTCATTTATTTCCTTGTTTATGAGAGAAGTGCAGTAACAGACTGCAGGCAAATCCTCTGAAGGTTTTTGCTCATCCTGTTCCAAAGTCGTGTCATATAGACATGGAGATTTGTGTAGATTCTAGGACTACATTGAACATCATTCCAAAAAAGCACTGTGAGTGTGTATGTACTACCATTCATATCCACATATGTGGACACATCAGTATGGACATATCATCTCTAGAGTTACATTGGTGGTGTGTTGAAATCAGAATGAAAGTAATCATCTTAAATGCGTAACAAATTTTACTTCGAAGGAACAGCTGAATCCAACATCTGTAGACGTCTTGAGTTACTCTCTACTACTGTGACTTTGACTGATAGCTTCTGTTTCAAAAAGTGCTTCTGGAATTTTAGGAAAACTTTGTAGGGGACATTTTGTTCAGCAAGTCTCAAATTATAAGGCAGGCATAAGACATTGTCTGGGTCTGGAGGGCAAGAAAGACAGCAAGAGAGCAAGGACAAGAGTCAGCAAGCCTGTGGGAGTCAGGGAAAGGAGAATGGAGAGACAGCAGGAGGGAGAGGGGAAGGAAGGAGGATCCAGGGAACTACAAGCCTATCAGCCCAACCTCAGTGCCAGGAGCAGATCATTGTGAGTGCCATCATGCAGAACATACAGGACAACCAGGGGATCAGGCCCAGTCAGGATGGGTTTAGGAAAGGCAGGTCCTGCTTGAGCAACCTAATCTCCTAGTTGAATGAAGGAAAGGCTGTGGATGTAGTCTACCTGGACTTCAGTGAAGCATTTGTCATTGTCTCCCATAGCATTTTCCTGGAGAAACTGGCAGCATGGCTTGGACAGGTGCACTCTTTGCTGGGTTAAAACCTGTCTGCACAGTCAGACCCGGGTGTGGGGGTGAATGGTGCCACATCCAGCTGGTGGCTGGTCACTAGTGGTATTTCTGAGGGCTCAGCTGTGGGGCCAGTCCTGTGTAATATCTTTATCAATCATTTGGACAAGGAGGTCAAGTGCACCCTCAGACAGTTTGCAGATTTCACCAAGTTGGGCAGGACTGATCTACGGGTGGGTAGAAAGGCTCTGCAGAGGGTTGTGGACAGGCTGGATCGCTGGGCTGAGGTCAATTGTACAAGGTTCAGTAAGACAAAGTGCCAGATCCTGCACTTGGGTCACAACAATCCCATGCAGTGCTACAGCCTTGGGACTGCCCAGTGGTGAAGGACCTGGGGGTGCTGATCTAACAGCCAGCTGAACATGAACCAGCAGTATGCCCATGTGGCCAAGAAGGCTAGTGGCATCCTGGTTTGGATCAACAGGACTAGGGAAAGGATCATTCCCCTGTACTGAGCACCGATGAGGCCACACCTCGAATACTTTGTCCAGTTCTGGGCCCTTCATTTCAAAAAAAGCATCTCTAGCATGTCCAGAGAAGGGCATAGCAAGTAAGTGATATGAGTAGGGGCTGAGGAAGCTGAGGGTGTTTAGCCTGGAGAAAAGTAGGCTCAGGGGGGGCCTTATCACTCTCTATAACTCCCTGAAAGGAGGTGGTAGAAAAGTGGGGATCAACCTCTTCTCCTGCATGACTTAGCAACAGGACAAGAGGTCACAGCCTCTTGTTTAGTCATATACAATCTCTGGTTTGCCAACTAGTGATGAGCTATTATTGATGCCAGTCTGTGACTGTTGTGACAGAGAACTGTTCCAAGTTCTATAGATTTGAAGCTTTTGATAAATTTATGGCCATTCTCTACATAAATAATGCAGTATTTTCCCCATGAGGGCTAACTGTACATGTTATTGTTGGCTTGAACAGAGAACAGTGTAAGTAAGAGAGAGAACAAAGTAAGATGCTGACAAAGTAAACTGGAGAAAGACACAGTATAGGTTGGTAAAAGTTAAATGTAATTGAATAATGATATATTAATTTCCTTATGTTCCTGATAGCTCAATCTAAACGACATTTTTGCAAGTTAGGGGACATAGTATCTTTTTCAGGGTGAATGATGATCTCTTCTAATAAAGAGATGATAATACACAGACATTCTAAAGTACTTGTACTCTATGGGGTGTTGTAGTACAAACAGTTCCTGAGAGAGGTTAGAAGAGGTTGAAGGTTAAGCTATGCAAAGGCTGGTAAGTGGGAGGGGGGAAAAAAAGATACTAAAGATATGAAGTTTTTGTTGTACAAATACTGTCACTTCAATTTCTAATATTCATTTCAGAATTAAAGGAAGATCTTTAATCTGAAACAGCCACATAATACCAGCATACCAATAAGGAAAGAGAAAGGGTAGGGGGGAGCTTGGGAGCTTACTGTAAATTTCTTTTCTGTAATGTTCTCTCTCCACTCTTACTACATACCAGTTCAACCTACCTGATGTTTCCAATTTGTCTTTCCGCTGCTTGGCTAGGATTCCCTCACCTTAAAATAAAACACATGTGGTCCCCTAAATTGTTGCTTATGAAATTTACAAGATCGCTGTCAAAGTGAATGTTTACACGTGCAAAATCATGCCACCACTCAATTGGTAAGTTAAGTAGGAAGTTAAGTGTTCTCCATTTGCTATTTTCTTGTTATGTTATGATTGTTTTTACAGATTACCAATGGAACGCTAGATGTAAAAAAAATGATGAAGACTTGGATTCTGCTTAAAGGATTTCCTTTAGTCACTGTTGTCAGAAAGGGAAAGATTATTTCTATACAACAAGAGAAATTTTTGTATCGTACAGAACCAGAAAACTGGACATCAGATGCAAGGTTATTACCTTTTTAATACCTTTTATTCTTGAAAATCTAGCTATAGATATCTGTCTTAAATCTCGAACAGCTTGTATTCAGGGGCTCTAGTGTTTTAATTGAAAGCAGGTAGCAATAGAGAATTTGGCACAGAAATTCATGCATATAGTGTCTGCCTGAAGGTCCATGTCTATTTCTACACAAGGAACTGATAAAAATCTGTGACATCCTTTGTAAGCTGTTTCTTATATGCAGCCTTTCCTCAAGCTGTTAAGCTTGACATGATGAATTGGTTTTTAATACCAAAAGGCAGATCTCTGAAATTTTCTTTTGGTTTCAGAAAGTTTTGTGTGATTAACAAGAAGCTGAAGAAAGGCAGGTTGCAGAAGTTTACAGAACCTCTGTTTCATCCTGCCAAAATTCAGTGTACATCTTGGGCTTTGTTTAGAGGAAGGTAGAGAAGCTAGAATCAAAGCTTTCTTCCCTTGAAAATTTTAAGGTGGCACTACCATATGACAACAAATGACTGAATATAAAATAGAGGCAACATCCATTGTACCAAAATCTAAAAGGAACTGCATATGCAAATACTGAAGAAGCAAAGATGTGGCAGCTGGTAATTTCAAAATTTAGTTTACTGCAAATATAATTTATATTATGAACCTCAGTGGTGTTTTCTAACAAACTAAAATACACAAGTTTGTATTTTTTTTGAGATTTGGATGGGCTTATTCAGGTGTTTGAAGTTTTAACAGGAGCTGAGTCCTTTGCATCACCTTGCAGAAGATCAGGCCTCTGTATCTTGAAATGCAGGAAGTTACAGGTCTCTGTTTTATTTTTGTTATGTCAAGGAAAAAAAGCAATGTGTAGTTGTAAGGGAAAAAGGGAAGGGGTTTTAGGCTTAGTAATGTTTCTGTTTCTAGTCAATGTCAATTTGCAGAGTACACAAAAAGGTTTTGAAGAAGAGCACTCTGTGTGAGTCGTACACAGAAGGGGTCCCTGTCAAAATTGGTTTGATACATGCAACTTGCTCATCCCACTCAAAGTTGTGCTTTTTCTAAATACTACATCCTTATCATTATTGTGAGCCACCATAGCATTTATTCTTCCAGCTTGCAGTTTGCTTGAGACAGTCTTTGTGGTATGCAATTAATTATGGTTTCTGTTACTATGCTTTGGAATTTGAGTCTTGCACTTAAATCAAATTATTTTTTTTAATTAAAACTTGTAACATTTCAGGAAAGCAGAACATCAGACTGAGGTGAATCAAGACAGATAATATGTATATGATATGTCAGCAAACATTTGTTTTCTTTTACAGTTATCTGTGGCATATTCCTCTCACCTATGTAACTAGTAGGTGCAACTTTACCCATTGTACTAATGCATATTTACTGGATCAGAAGTCAGGTATGTGACTCAAAGTTATGTTACATAGATGTAGAATTTTTCTGAGCATATACTTGCATAAGATGTGAAGGTAAAGACATATGGAGTACAAAATATTTAGAGAGATCTGGAGCCAAGCAGTGCTGGTGGTGTCATCATTAGAGAGCCGACTCCCTGTAGCATTGTATGTACAAATAAATGACAGCAACTGGAACAGAAGCACAGGTGTGGAATTTGTAAAAGCCTGTAATCATTTCATCACAGTGCTCTGCCAGTTTGCAGAAATGTGAGGAGGTAACTTTCCACTGAAATATTATTTATTTAATTGTGTAAGAAAATACTGCATCTGGTACAGATTAGGTTTTTGAGAATGCTGCTGTTGAACTTGAAAACTGTTACATCTTTTCACACAAACTCTCTGGTTTTGCTGTGGTGATAAGTTTGAATTCTAAATTGCTAGTGTATTCAGCCCTGATTTTCTCCTTACCAAATGTATAGTTACTATACAATTTTATGTGGTGCTGAAATCACTTTGGCTGGGGTCCTCAGTGTAGGAAGGACATAGACCTGTTGGATTGAGTCCAGAGGAGGGGCCTCCAAGATGATTAGAGGGATGGAGCACCTCTGCTATGAGGAAAGACTGAGAGAGCTGGGGTTATACAGCCTGGAGAAGAGAAGGCTTTGGGGTGACCTAGTTGTGACCTTCCAGTAGGTGATGGGGGCCTACAAGACAGATGGAGAGGGACTCTTTCTTTACAAGAGCATGTAGTGACAGGCCAAAGGGGAATGGCTTCAAACTGCAAGAGGGTAGGGTTAGATTGGATATTAGGAAGAAGTTCTTTACTGTGAGAGTGGTGAGGCACTGGGACAGGTTGGCCAGAGGAGTTGTGGATGCCCCAACCCTGGAAGTCTTCAAAGCCAGGTTGCATTGGGCTTTGAGCAATCTGATCTAGTGGAAGGTGTCCCTGCCTCTGGTGAGGGGGTTGGAACGAGATGGTCTTTGAGGTCCCTTTCAACCCAAACAATTCTATGATTCTGTGATTTCTTTCCACTGACATGCAGAGGTTTTCACATTTGATTGAAGATGGTCTGACTCATTGCCGTATATATGCTGATGTATTTTCCTCCCCCCGTTCAAGTTACTATGCAGTGCATTTAACTGGCAATTATTTTTAAACCTATTACACACCTCTACTTTTTGAAATAAAACTACACAAATTTTAAATCAATTTATTAGAGTTCATCTCCACATTTTCAGTGTTTACTGATTTTTACAAACTGCCACTCCTCTAAAATTGTTAGAAGCACTAAAAGTAGAGTAAGTACTTTTGCTTAATGTCATTCTGACATTGGTTTTACAAATCCTTCAAGATATTCCTTTTTCATTTGAAATGGACCAGTTCATATGGTCTTTTCCATTTGAGATGGAGTTTTTAGAAAAATAAATTACAAATTAACAAAATGGAGAAACAAAGCTGTTTAAATGAGCATGTTCTTGATCTTACTAGAACTAATAAGTAAGTTGCCCAATTTTGTCATTTTTGTTTCACTTTAAATGGCCCTGCTGGTTGTCTCGTGTTCATCATATGAATTCCTTGCTGTAGAAACTTGGATGTGGAGGATATGAGAATAAGAGAGATGTACAAAAGAGTTTAGGGTAGAATATTTACTAAATTCTAAAGCCTTTTGTAAGTATTGTACAAATGAACATTTTTGGCAGGAGTTGTAGAATCAACTGATAGGAAGTACTTTTTCCCAAAGCCTCTCTTCTTAATGTCTAGTTGACTTTGAAACTAGAGTGTCATCTTACATCTACTTAAGGTCATCTCCTTTTCTCTATTCCTTTATATAATATGTGTAACTGCTCTTTATATATATACATATGTATATGAAAGTGGGTGGAGAAGAAATGGGGCTGTTTGAAAGGAGGACTAGACAGAAGGAGAACAATTACTGCACTGAGGTAATTAACTGTATAGATGCAACTCAGGGCAGATACTGTTCATTCAATCAGATGTGAGAAGAAGGATCAAGAAGTTCAACCTGGAATTTTTGAACCTTCTCATGAAACCTTTGTACTGACTGTTCCTTCTTCATAGTAGGGGGAAGTAGTGGATGTGAGAAAATTTACTGCCTGTCTTCATAGACTGAGATTTGAACAAACAGTTTCTAAATATTTGTTGATGCTGCTAACTTACTGTTTGTCCATCAGCTGTCATTGAACTTCCAGAAGAGGTAGAATGGATAAAATTCAATGTGGATATGAATGGCTATTACATGGTACACTATGCTGAAGACTGGAAAATGCTGATTGATCTGTTGAAAAAGAACCACACTGCTTTGAGTCCTAAAGACAGAGCCAATTTGATCAACAATATCTTCAGCCTTGCAGGGTAAGACTTTTGTATTGGTTAACATACCTAGTATGTGTTTGCAGTTTTTTCCCAAGTCAAAGAAGATCAGATGTAGTTTCTAGAGACAGCTGCTTCAGTGAAATTTTAATTCTGTGTTGATTAGCCTTATTGGAACAGTTCACCATTCACTAATTATTTTTTTTCAAGTTCTTTCACTGTTGCTTCCATAATATCAGTGCTAGATGGTATCTCCCTGCTCTTTATAGCAGCATCCATTTATTTGCATCACATAGAGTCACATGATAGCTTACATTTCTGGGAGACACTTTTAATTAGTGTCTGATAATCTGCCTAGCAGACTGTTTTCCTGTACTCTGTCAATGAATGCTCCACTTCAGTAAAGTAATCTGTTTCCCCCTCAAGTTTTTCCTGGCTCCCTCTCACGTCTTTTCACCACTGCTGTCAGAGCAAGTGAGGCTGAGTGTTCTGCATAGTCTCTTTGGAAACTGCGACCTGTATCTGAGTACCCTCATTTATGATAAATATTTTTAGATATCCTTACCTATTTTCATTTTTGTTAATTGAGGGCATGTTAATGGGGACCGTTGTTACCTTACTAAAGTTAACGTATGAATATCTCTATGTCTAAATTATTTCTTAGGTCACCTCCTCTATTCACTTACCTCTGTGTTAATGTAGTGGAAAGCATCACTTCTGATCTTGTTTCAGGGACTGATTTTGTTTTGCAATCAGTTTTAATGTTTTTATTCACTGACCCATAGTCTAGGAAGAGTCCCTCTGCAAAAGGCCTTTGAGCTGATTGATTACCTTGACAAAGAGAACAGCACTGCACCGATCACTCAAGCTTTGTTTCAACTGAGTCTTATTTACAACCTTCTAGATAAAAAGGGTGAACAACAACTGGCAGCACGAGTCATGGTATGTCTTAGTTTTTGTAAATTATAATTTGGGATAATTAGCTGAAATGTTCTTTATAGTTACATTGTATCTTTTAAAGTGTTGACTGTAGAACATACTCAGTAGGTTGGATAGGGATTCCAGGTAGTTGACGGTCTTGCCTGGTTTTGTTAAGTAGTAATGATCTCTTACTGAAATGCTAAAATTTCTGGACCAGCTTCCTCCCCTTTCCCTCTTCCCTTTCCACACCACACCCTCCCAAAATGTTTTGTAAGGAGTGTACTGCAGTGAGAACACAGTGGTGTCTGGGGATGTGCTGTAGTGACTATAAAGGTTAATGTAGTACAGATATGTAGTTAAACAGAGCCATGTCATTCTTCTGGTACAGAAAGGTTATTTCCAAAAATCAGAGTAGCTGGAGATCATAGATCTAGTTGCTTTGTATAGAGGCAGGAGAAAAAACCAACTATTTTCTCTAAAAATAGGAAAACAATAATGTTCTGGTCCCATATATCCAGTATGATGAATGGTTGTCATTGTCCCATTCCAGTTCTGTGGTAGATTAATACAATCTAGTGCTACAGATTTAGCAATGCAATAAACATTGTAGTCTCAGTTCTTGATGAGGATATGTCTTTCATTTCTCTGTTTACCTTCTTATTGTAAAGCTTCTCAATATTCATTTACAGGTTTAAAATTACCCTTGCTGCTTTACATTGTAAAACATCAGTAAAGGGTTTTAGTCTATAAGGAAGATTCTGAAATGTTTAAATAAAGCAGCAGATTTTTTTTCTTTATGCTTGGTGTGGATAGTTAGTGAGTGCTTAAGGAAACACAAGAAAAGAAAAACCACTGCTAAAACAATTTTCCTTATTTAGTATTTATTCCAAGTTCTGCTTTGGATAAATAGACCTGCTACGATAAACAGCCCAAGCTGTAGTTTGGAGTGCAGTGTCTATGCAGTTACATAATTTCAGAAGTTTCAGCTGAGGTGTGGTAGCTGGTCAGGCTGTGGATTTGGCAAGCTACAGAACTGCAAAACTGAAGGGTGTTCAGCCTATAGATAAAGGCTGTTTCTTTGTGCTAAACTAAAATATATTAACGGTCATTTGATGAAGTTAAAAGCAGTTAAACATAGAGAAGTTGTAATTAGTTGAGATTGTAAGCTGACTGACATGCAAATCTGAACCATGGCTCGAAGAGTAGTCTTGAGTTTCCATGTGCAACTTAAGATACAGACCTGGCCCATCCTTCAGATCTATGTGGTATGTGATGTTATTCCTACAGATAAGAAATGGCATATGTAAATTAGAATAAGTAGATGAAAAACTGCTATGTTTAGTTTCCACAGTTCTGAAACTTAACTTTTTTTTTCTTGAGTAGTTTCGTATATAGAAAATCTTCTTGGAAAGAAATAGCTATTGCTAGTAATTTTCCCTCCTTTTAGCATAGGATAGAGCACTTGTTTGGAGATAAAATTGATCAACAGCATTGGACAGATGATGGGCCCCTGCCTGAACGAGAGCTCCGGTCAACACTGCTATGTTTTGCCTGTACCCATGGTATAAGAAACTGTAGAACAACTGCCACCGAGATGTTTGAGACGTGGATGAAGTCTAATGGAACACTGAGGTACCACAAAAACTGAGCTTCCGGTTCTTTTATCTGTGTTCCTGATACCTTGCCACCATTGTTTTGGGGAAAAATACCCCAACAACAAACAAAATTTAAAAAAAACCCACACCACACCGCCACCAACAGTGAAATGTTGATGAAGCTCTTAATTCTGTCTTTTATTGTTCCATATGTAGAACTAATTGATGTTTCAAGATGAGAGGAAGAACTGTGCTGGAATTTAAGACTTCAGTGTCATTAAGTGTGACTGCAACACCAGCCACAAATTGCTTCCATGTGCATTTCCTAAGCTCATGCTGAAGGAGGATTACTTAGTAGCAATGTCAAAGCACACCTTTTTATCTCACAGAATTCATTCTGCTCTGAATTCACGTGCATTTTGAACTATAGAAAATTACTCAATTTTTTTGTTCAGTTTACTGTGTTTCATGTGACTGATATGATTTGCTTTTTCCCTGTGACTGAGAGTATTACACTGGCATGAATTCAGTTCAGCAAACTACACAATTGCTACAGAACTAAATTGCTCCAAAGAGAGGCATCTCTTTCAAGTTAATCTTTTAATTTTGTGACTTCTCTTCCTCCTTTTCTCAGATGAGCATTTTAATGTCCCCTTTGTTTGTTTGTTTTGTTGCTTTTGTTTTTCCCTGTAGTCTGCCTAGTGATGTTATGAAAGCCATATTTTCAGTTGGGGCCAAATCTAGTGATGGCTGGGAATTCCTCCTACAGATGTACTCCTCTTCAGTTTCTGAAGCAGAGAAAAGCAAAATGATTGAAGCCTTGGCCAGCACAGAAGATGCCAGAAAGCTGATCTGGTATGAAGGAGCTAAAAAGTTGCATGCTGTGTAAATGAAAAATACTAAAGTTATCTTTTTGTATTGTTGAAAAAATTTCTGATTGCTAAAGAAAATTTATCCACATGTTTTGCACAGGCTTCCATAAACATGAAGAACCTGATTTTTTTCACTTTAAAATAATTTCTGTAACAGAGCAGCACAAAAGACCAAATTCTGAATATGCATAAAGAGAAAAGAATAGAACTTAAAGGCTTTGCGCTACTAGTAACAGAAAATTGCAGATTTTCTGCTACAGGTAACACAAAATTGCAGGTTCTTCTATAGAGCCTTAAAAGATTGGGATATCTTTATAATAAAAATAAGAACTACTTGGGGTATTTTTTTGGTTTGATTTTTTTCCTCTTCATTTTTGCTTTGGATGAAATTCTGATTTTACATTATGCTCCAACACCTCTCTGTAGACCAAATCTCTGTACTGCATCTAGGACACTGAGCTGTCCTGTTAGTTTATTCTTCAGCTTTCCTCTCTTCGCTTTTCAACCTCTTATGTTTCTTTTACAAGTTAGAATTTATTTCATCTTTTCCAACAATAATGAAAATTCATGTGCTTGGTTTAGAGCTAAGGTCACTGTGATTTCTGGAAGTTAAAGCTAAGTAAGTACAGTTGTCTTCTTGAAATGGAGCATGGGTACTCTCCAGATGCCAGAAATTGCTTGTTTGATGTATTATATAATTTTTTCATCTGATTGCGGAGTATCAGGAAAACTATGTGAAGATATGAATAATTGGTTTTTTCCTGTCCCTTTTCATATGTTTTGTCTCTTAGGCTAATGCAGAACAGCCTTGAAGGAGAAATCATCAGGTCACAGGAGCTTTCACATATCATAGGAACTGTTAGCCAGAGTTTGCCTGGATATTTGCTGGCCTGGGACTTTGTCAAAGAGAATTGGGAAAAGCTTACACGAAAGTAAGGGTTGATGCATCCGAAACTTCAGACTCACAGTGGCAAAAGCTCCTGTTTGTTTCTTTCAAACACAAGACCATAAAAGTTGCATTCATGTGAGATTATTGGTATTAAAATTGTAAAGCATGTTTGAAAAATCTGAGTTTGGAAATACAACTTGCTACATAAATTTGAAGTCTCACCGATAGTCGAGAGGACTTTGGAGCTTCCTAGAAACTCATAGTAATTCTAAAAGTATCTTGATTTGTATATCGGTTAAAAGGTGGCTGTTTCTAAGATGATTGCTGCACTTGCAGGATATTTATGTGGGTCAAATGCTTCCAAAAGCAAACCCATGGAATTCATTCAGCATTTATTTTTTCTGCCTTTTTACATCATTCTCAAGACCAAGTAACAAAAAAATCCCACTTGCTTCAGAACTGTATGTTCTGCTTAACTGAAGGGTACCTTGAAAGGTACCCAGCAGGAAAGCTGGCCTCAAAGTCTTCAAAAACAGTAGTGGAAACCTGTACTTCTAAACTCCAGCTTTGATTTGGAATAGTTTCACATTGCTAGAAAAGCTTCTCCTCTATGAAAGTGTCTGCTCTAGCAAGCTCTTCGGAACCAATATTACTTTGTACTCGAAGCACAATCTGGTTGGACGTTCAATGGCTGTAGAGCTTTGGAACATGTACCACAAATACAGATCTCTGTGTGGTGTTCTCAGTTCTTTACTACCTGATCTGTGATAGAAGTTTGAAAACTTTCCACATCTTTTGCTCTGAAGTGCCATTTTTAGAGGGAATAGGGAACTAAAGGTTTGGACTTCTAAGACCATATATCTCTTTGAAAAATAAGATATGTAAACTTAAATTTAAGTGCTTTTAATGGTTTCTAACTACAAACCAAAAATGTTTTGTAAGAAACTTCTAAGAAATTTCTAAGAAATAGAAATAGTAGAAAAGAACATGTACATATACTGAACATGCATCTTAAAGTGTCTCCTAGTTAAAAATACTTGTTTGTCTTTCAGGTTTCACCTAGGCTCATATACTATCCAGAATATTGTTAGTTGGTCAACTTCTCAGTTTGCAACAAAGGCTCATCTGCTTGAGGTTGGTGGCTTAATATACCAAAAAATTACTAATGCTGTTTTCACTTAATCGAGGGATGAGGAAAACATGTTATTAATATCCTTGAGGCACTTTTGCAATTGATATACATGGCAAATATATACATAAACACATTAGAGGTTATGTGCTAACTCTGTGGTAGAGTTGCATCATAGAGTTGAACCCAGTTATCAGTTTATACTCTTGGTTTTCCTGTTGACTGGAACACACAGTTTCCTCAAAGACTTTTTTGATCTATATAGAATTTAAGTCTAGATTTTGTAAACAAGCTGTGCCTACGGCATCACTGGAATGTGATACTATGCCATAAAGATTGCTTTATGCTGTTTTTGCTGTCATCAATCCCAAGAAGCTATTGTGGACGTTGAGTATCAGCTAAGAGCTGGTTAATAGCCATTGGAAAGCTCTCTTGTCTCTGAAGTTAATGTATCAAGAATGGTTTAAGGTGTAGTCTAATGTTTTCTTTCAGATAATTTGGTAGAGATAGGTGTTTATGGTTTGATCTGTAATATTTCAAGTGTTAGTGTTGACAACTATGAGTGAGTGTGGAGACCATTGCAGAATGCTGAAGAGAGTTTCCTGCAACCACCAGTTCTTTGTCACAGAACAGGACTCTTTTTCCAGGACTTTTGAGTGCTCTCTGTTTGCTTTGTGATGAATATGATAAGCAAATGCCTGTTTATTGGTGAAATTAATTATTGAAACCAAATGAATTATTGCTGCCATTCCCATGAAAAATGCTTTCCTTGCATTTAGGGAACTCCTTTGAAAGGTTTGGTTATTGCATAGATACAGATGATTCTCAGAAATGGGTTTCCTGCAACATACCTGTAGCCTTTGCTTCTGAACATGTTTGTGTGGCCAGTGTTGATTTTGATTAAAATTTTGTCTTTCTTTCTGTACTCTTGCTATGCAGGTGAAGTCATTTTTTGAGTCAAAATCAGAGGAGAGTTCTCAACTGCGCTGTGTAAAAGAGGCGATTGACACAATTCAGCTCAATATCCAATGGATGGAGAGGAACTTAGCAAAGCTGCAAGAACTGCTGTAGTGCACATAACACTGCGGTGTGTCAGCCATTTAGGAGCTCTGCAAGCAGTTGTCGTGTTTCTTTTGCAAAAGCCGGGGTGAAACCAGGCATCACTGCAACATTGCACTATTAAGGAGTCTAGATAGCTCAGGGCATGCCTCAGATAAATTTTTATTTTCCTTAAAGCATTTATGAGCAATATGTAAGTATTTGTCCTGAAACTGGTTTCATCTATAGACCAAACATCTGCACAAAAGATTAAATATAATTTTATATGTGAAACTTAGGCTCTTTCCTTTGGAGTTGTGTTGTAGTTTCTTAGCAGTGGGTTAATATTGACAGTCAGGTCAGAAAGAAGGAGTAACTGTGAACTGTTACTTCTTTTCAGAGTGCTCATTGAGCAATAGATTTTTTTAATGCAAAACTGTATGTGGTTTCCACATTTGTAGATATAGAAGCTGTTGTGAAAGAAAATCATATTTCAGATACGCAAGTAGTAGTGAATCTTATAAAGTACACCAGTTTGAGGCGAAATAAATAAGATTCCAATTTGATTTAAGTTTGGATTTTTTATTCTAATGGTGTTCTTTAGCAATTACACTTTACAAAAAATAAATCTCATGCTAATAACATACACTTTTGGGTGTATAAAGTGGCTGGAAAAGAAGAAACAGATAGCAAAACCAAGTGATTTAGAGATGGGATCTCTAGGAACGGTGGTGTGACCTTGGAACTTTTACTCTGAATTTACCACATAGTTTTGAGACTCTCATCTCACAGAAAAAGGCCATTTTTAAAAAATCATTGCAGTTTAAGTGATTTTGCTGTATTGATCTCTGACCAGCTACACAAACTGTGTTTTTCCAGGCTGGTTGATCTGTTAGACTGACTACTAATTTATGCCCTTTTGACTACTGATTTTAAGTTTCACCACTTGTTGCAGGAAGTCTGCAATTAATAGATGTGTCAGTCACTTCACTTGTGTAAACTTCTGGGTTTTCATTGCCCAATAACTTGCATATCACAATATAATTTGTGAACATTGCTCACACTTTATGCTATTAGCTTTAGGAAAGCTTCTAATTTAGATTGTAATGATTTGTTTTTCTATTGTTGTGAAAAATCTTGTGAGACAAATCCTCAAAAGAGGATCATTTTTAAAGAAAAGGAACTAGAAACTTAATATGCTACACTAGAAAGGTAAAATACCTGCAGTGCAATCTGTCTCTATCAAAAGCAGCAAAAAAGGCCATTTTTGAGGTATGGTATATATATGTAGAACACTTGCAAGAGCAAACGTAACTTTTTATCTGGGGATCTGTTCTATGCTATATACCAATGTACCTTTTGGGGATTCACGCAAGCAGATTTAGAACTGTCGATAAAATACGCAGAGAATTGCAATGAAGTATATTCTTGGAGTTTATATACTGTCATGTGTTATTACTTTGATTCCTCTATTATAAATCATGGAACTCTCTACAGAAATATTATTTCCATCTTTGCATATTTGTGTGTGTGTATATATATATATATATGTCATCTTTTTTTTCCTAGTTACTTCTTAAATTAAAAGAGAAGTCAGTAGTCAACTTTCACTTTTCTATTGGTTCTATCCTATCATCCCTGGCTGCAGGATTGATACTTATAAAATTTAAAATCAAAGTGGTGGAAGAAGATCTCATTTTCCTCCTGGTTTCTGCTGTGGAATTTTAAAAATTTGCTATTCTGTTCAAATGCTGCAATGACAATTATGAGGAAATAGCATGGAGCTGAGTTTTAGACAGCAAACTATACCAAGAAAATCTGGAAAGCTAGGGAGATTGTTTTCATTTTACTGTTTGTTGTTTATGGATACTTTTGGTATGTCAGTTGTAGAGGTTTAAAAATTATTTTTCTGCCATGGAGTCTCCAACCCTATTAAAAAGTTGTACTGGAGTCCTCCTGCCATGAGAAATCTTAAATTTCATTCTCTCTTTTTTGGATATACTGGGAATTGAAGACTGAAATAGCTAAGACCTAGAGCATGGCAGACAAGCTTTGCTGACAAGGCTTGTGTTGGACATGGCCTCAAGTGGAGTAAGCAGATGTTTCCTCGGATGCCTTAGGAACTGGCATAATTAGCCAGTCTTAGCAATGCTAGAGGGATGACTAACAAACTAACAACTTAAAAATGCAGCAGGACTCATGGAAAAGGAGCTGTCATTGGGGCAGAGTTTGATTTGGGAGTGAAGGGCACTGTGGCAAACTGAGCTCAGCCATTCCTGGAGGGGTGTGGCTCCCACATCAGCTGCAGTGTCTTTCATGCTGTTGGCACAACTGTCCAGCAGCATCATCCCATTGATGCAGCTCCTCAGCTCAAAGGAGCTGTGCAAGAACAGAATGGCCACCTAGGGCTTACTCCAGCACTCACGACTTTCACGTCATCTTCAAACTTCATCCACCTGCAGCCATCAGGCCCAATCAGCCTCACTGCAAGAAAACAGCCCCCGATCTGTAACCCTTTTGTGCTAGAGCTACAGGGTGGCAAAAGGAGAAAGCTGCTCACAGTGGTACCTGCAGTGGCAAAAGCTTTGTGTCCCAGAGAGCAGAAAGCAGAGCCCGTGTGTACTGCCAATGTGGGCTCTCCTCTCCCACCTCAGCTGGCAGCAGGGATTTACCTTGCCGTATTCTTCTATGCAACATCTTCACCCTCTTTCACACAGATTTCATCCAGCTCACAAAACAAGTCACAGGGGACATGCTACTCTTTCTTCTTGGTCCTGAGGATGAACTATACCTGCTGGGACAGAGTGTCTGGGGAGAGAAGGCAAAGGTCCATCCTGTTACTTTGCTTGAATACAGCCTATCGTGTTCACATGCAAAGTGAGCATCAAATTGGCACCAGTTCAGCCACAAATACTGGGCTGGGCCCTTTCTCCTGGTTCTGCCCAGGCTTGCCCAGAGCCACAGAGAAGGAGAAACATCTATTCCACCTCTGCATGAGAAAAAGGTAAAAGCTTCTGCTGGGGTTGGGTGTGTAGAGCTCCCTTATGTCCTCCCAGCCATCATCCACTCCTGCATCCATGCAAGTCCATAAACATCACACCTCTGCGTGCCTCCTCCTCCTCCAGGCACAGTCCTAAAAGCACGGCTTGTAGTTTCTTCTCATACCCAAATGAAACAGCTGATAACATTGCCTAAAGTGTATGCAATGGGAATCTGAGAGTGTATACTACAGGGAGGAGAGGCTGAGAGCTTCAGACCAAAAATAAACCTCTTGCTTTGTTCCTGTGCTTCCTTTCTAAGAAAAAAAAGAAAAAGGGGGAAAAAACCCTCAAAACCTGCACCTTTGACAACAGCAAGTTTCAGTCTCCAAATACGACACCTATAGGACTAACTAGATGGCACTTGGCCACCGGACATGGCCAGCAACAACAAAGGCCTTCAAGAACCTGCAAGGGTGAAGCTTCATCTTCAGTTCAATGAGGCTCAGGCTTAGCTTTGTGCAAGCACAGTGTCCATGAAAAACTTTACTGTTCTCTTTGCAAAAAGCATTGCCGTCTTCATCTGAAATACCACTGCTAGCAGCTGCATGAAGAGCATTTGTGCCTTGAAAGCTAAAAGAACAGGAGCAAACAGAAAAAAGGGTTTTTCCTTCTCTTTTCCTCTTGTCACCAAGGCGGGGGAAAGGTTACTGTGTTCAAAGAAATAAAAACCCAGCCACGTCTAACACTCAAGTCCCAACTTCAGCTGCAAGAAGGGCAGCCTGGAGCATGCTAGGGCAGGATGCACAGGCTCCAGTGTGTGCTGGTTTGAGCTGAAGTAGAGTTATGGACACAGTGCAAGCTACAGTGGACCACAATCATTTCTTTCTGGGACAACGCGTGCTGATCCAAAGGCAGCCTCAGTGCCGAAAACCTGCTCTGTCCTGCCCCTGCCTTGGTCTGTGCATACACAAAGGCTGATGTTGGCTTAGCTGTTGTTGAGATGAAGTTGCCTATTTTTGCAGTTAACAGTGTTTGCAGTCACTCAGTCTTTTGTGCAAGGCGAGACTTCGTAGCCTGGCACCTGCAAAATGAGGCTGTGGGCAGGCAAGTTGGGCGCAAAGGGAACGAGTCCCTCAAAGAGCTGGCAACATGTTGGGTCAGAGAGGAGGGTGAGGGTGCAGCGGAAGAAGGGAACACAGGGCTACAGGTCTTGGAGACAGCAGCTCAAAACGTACAGTGTCTTAGGCTGCTGACTGGTGGGATGCCTCTGTGTGTTTGTGTACAGTGCACCAGGGCTTCTCTCATTGCCCAGGAGAAGGTAAGGATACCCCATGCCTGCAAGTCTTCAAGGCCAGGTTAGGTGGGGCTTTGAGCTGCTACCTGCTTGAGTGCAGAGTATCCCTGCCTATGGCAGAGGGAGTTGGAACTAGATGATCTATGACTGTTGACCCCATGGCTTCTTCCTACAGCATGTCTTGCATTGTGAGTAGCATAGGTGTCCAGCCAGGGTCCTGACCTGGGATTGTCAGCATCTGGGTTCCCTGGGAACTAGGCACAGGGGTTATCTGTCCTATATATGTCCCTCATCAGCTCATTGTGGGTCCTTGCTGCTGGCAGCTGCTTCATCAACACCACATAGGGAGGACCAGGGACTGGGGATATCCACACAACACCAGCATGCGCTCCTGCCTGCAACACCATGTGCTACTCCCATCCCATTTTCTTGCAGCGTGCCCAGTGCCTAGGCACTACAGAGCCCAGTTGAGAGACTGCTGGGGTGATGAGACTGCTCCCCCACTCACTGGTGCTGCTGCACATCATCTCCTGCTGGAGGCTAACCAGACTGGGAGAGAGGGTGATAGGCAGGTCAAGTGCCCTACAGCAGCCAACACCACCAAGGGACAAGAGGCCTCCCTGCAGGTTGACATACCCCACAGAGAAAGATACTGGTAAGCTGGGTGGCCATACTAAACAATTTAAGTTGTATTAGCTTAAATTTAAATGGTATTAAATTGTATTAATTTGTGTTAGTTTAAATTGTATTTAGTTGTG